CAACTGGGGTTGGTCACCTCCAAGGCTATGGCCACCCATGGGACGTGGCCTCCTGGAGATGGTCAACTTGGGTTGATCACCCCCCAAAGGACGTGGCCTCCTGGGGATGGTCAACTTGGGTTGGTCACCCCCAAGGCTATGGCCACCCCAAGGGACATGGCCTCCTGGGGATGGTCACCTTGGGTTGCTCACCTCCAAGGGACGTGGCCTCCTGGAGATGGTCAACTTGGGTTGGTCATCCCCAAAGGACGTAGCCTCCTGGGGATGATCAACTTGTGTTGGTCACCCCCAAGGATGTGGCCACCCCAAGGGACATGGCCACCTGGAGATGGTCAACTTGGGTTGGTCACCCCAAAGGAAGTGGCCTCCTGGGGATGGTCAACTTGTGTTGGTCACCCCCAAGGCTATGGCCACCCACGGGACGTGGCTTCTTGGGGATGGTCAGCTTGGGTTGGTCACGTCCAAGGACATGGCCACCCCAAGGGACGTGGCCACCTGGAGATGGTCAACTTGGGTTGGTCACGTCCAAGGATATGGCCACCCACAGGACGTGGCCTCCTAGGGGTTGGTCAGCCCCAAGGTTATGGCCATCCAAGGAATGTGGCCACCTGGGGCTGGTCACCACAGGTTGGTCATCTCCAGAGATGTGGCCTCCTGGTGGAGGTCACCCAAGGGTGGTCATCCCTAAAGGATAAGGCCACCCAATGATGATCACCCCAGAGATATGGCACCTCCCAGGGGCATGGCCATTCTCCAGCATGTGGTCACCTGGAGATGGCCCCCACCATGGATCGCCACCCCATGGACACGGTCACCCTCGCCAAGGGTCATGGCCACCTGTGGATGGTCACCCCTATGGACATGGTCACCCCAAGTGACATGTGGCCACCTGAGGATGGCCACCCCAGGGATATGGCCACCCAAGAGACATGTGGCTGCCTGGGGCTGGCCACCCCCATGGACATGGTCACCCCAAGTGACATGTGGCCACCTAGACCCAGCGAGTGCCACTCCTATGGACATGGCCACCCCAAGGGACATGTGGCCGCCTGTGGATGGCCACCCATGGATGGCCACCCCCATGGACATGGCCACCCCAAGGGACATGTGGCCACCTAGAGATAGTCACCCATGGATGGCCACCCCACTGGGCATGGTCACCTCAAGGAACATGTGACCACCTGTGGATGGTCACCCCCATGGACATGGTCACCCCAACAGACATGTGGCCACCTATGGATGGCCACTCCCATGGACATGGTCACCCCAAAAGGGACACGGCCAGTTGTGGATGGTCACCCCTGGATGGCCACCCCTATGGAAATGGCCACCCCAAGTGACATGTGGCCACCTAGGGATGGTCACCCTTCCATGGACATGGCCACCCTAAGGGACATATGGCCACCTAGGGATGGCCACCTGTGGATGGCCACCCCCATGGACATGGCCACCCCAAGGGACATGTGGCCACCTAGGGATGGTCACCCCCATGGACATGGTCACGCCAAGTGACATGTGGATGGTCACCCAGGGCTGGCCATCCCTATGGACATGGGCACCCCAAGTGACATGTGGCCACCTAGAGATGGTCACCCACAGGTGGCCACCCCCACGGACATGGTCACCCCAAGGGACACGGCCACCTATGGAAGGTCACCCAGGGATGGCCACCTCCACGGGTGTTGTCACCGCCTAGGGATGGCCACCCCCATGGACGTGGCCGCTCTGGGGTTGACGTGGCCACCCCGGGGGACACGGCCACCCCCGGGGGACACGGATGGCAGGGGAGGGACACGGCCCCCATTTGAGGGCGGGTTTGGCGGGGACATGGGGGACATGGGGCACATGCCCACCCCCTGGCAGGGCCAGGGCCACCCCTTGGGAGGGGACACGCAGCCCTCGCCCCAGCGGGGACACGGTGGGGACAGAGCCACCCCCTTCCCCCCTTCCCCGGCCCTTCCCCGCCGATGGGCGCGGGGGCCACCGTGTCCCCAAGGCCAGCGGCCCGGTGACGCCGCCGTGTCTCTCTTCGTCCTAGCTGTCCGTCAGGTAGCTCGGCCCGGCCCTGCCTTTGTCACGGGACCCTCGGCCTCCGGTGACACGCCAGGTGGGTCCTCCCGTCCCGGCCCGCTTGGGGACACGGATCCGGGTGGCCCTGTCCCTCCTGTGTCCGCCTGGGGACACACGGGGCCATGGATCCCAAGTGTCCCCTCCCCTCCCCGTCGCCCGTCCCCCATGGGGACACTGGGGGACCCCCTGGAGATGGGGATCCAGGTGTCCCCCCTGGGCTGCACGTGTCGCTCTGGGGACATGAGGGACCCTTGGGGACACGGATCCCGGTGTCCCCGTCCCTCCTTGTCCCCCATAGGGACACTGGGAAACCCTTGGGGACAGCAGGGTCCAGAGCATGACCAGGATCTTGTCCCCTCCCCAGCCTAGTTCATGTCTGATCCTTCTTCGTGGACACGGATCTGGGGTGTCCCCATCCCTCTTGTGTCCCCATGTCCCTCCGAGGACGATGGGGAACCCTTGGGGACACAGATCCAGGTGTCCCCTTCCCTCTAGAGTCCCCATGTCCTCCTGAGGACAATGGGGAACCCTTGGGGACACGGATCTGGGATGTCCCCATCCCTCTTGTGTCCCCCTGAGGACAGTGGGGAACCCTCGGGGACACAGATCCAGGTGTCCCCTTCCCTCTAGAGTCCCCATGTCCTCCTCGAGGACGATGGGGAACCCTCGGGGACACAGATCCAGGTGTCCCCATCCCTCTTGTGTCCCCCTGAGGACAGTGGGGAACCCTCGGGGACACAGATCCAGGTGTCCCCTTCCCTCTAGAGTCCCCATGTCCTCCCAAAGACTATGGGGAACCCTTGGGGACATGGATCTGGGATGTCCCCATCCCTCTTGTGTCCCAACAAGGACGATGGGGAACCCTTGGGGACACGGATCTGGGGTGTCCCCCTCCCTCTTGTGTCCTCGTGTCCTCCTGAGGACGATGGGGAACCCTTGGGGACACAGATCCAGGTGTCCCCATCCCTCTTGTGTCCCCCTGAGGATGATGGGGAACCCTCGGGGACACAGATCCAGGTGTCCCCTTCCCTCTTGAGTCCCCATGTCCTCCTGAGGACAATGGGGAACCCTTGGGGACATGGATCTGGGATGTCCCCATCCCTCTTGTGTCCCAACAAGGACGATGGGGAACCCTTGGGGACACGGATCTGGGGGGTCCCCCTCCCTCTTGCGTCCTCTTGTC